TCCTGTCCAAAATGCCATGTTGGAATTTGTTTCATGGAACAGCATAGTTTTGTATATTGGATCTGAACAGATATGCGTTTACGAGTTGAATTAATATTCAATGTAGTATCTTTTTAAGTTATTCTATTGACATGAAATTCTGAGACGAATATGTCTATTTTTAATAACAGTCAGGTTACAATGGTCTGGCCATAGAAATAACTCATGGTATTCATCTTCTTGGTAATATTTCCAGTAAGTTTAAATATTTATTGTCATGCAATTCAAGAAAATAACCAGTCTAGATAATCCACAGAAACAGATTCCATTTGGCTTAAAAGGCAAAATGACTGTGAAAATGATATGAGTGGACCATTCAAAATCACACAATTTGCATAAAAAGTAAGTATTTATTGGTTGATGTCGCGCAGCAGTACAGCACACACTACTACTGCCATGCAACGACACACTAATGTCAAAATATCATTATCTTTGGAATGTCTGTTTCCTGTATATTAAGCGTATGTATACCACATCTGAACTCCGTTGAACATCTGCGCAAGATTGAAAAGCTGATAAAAACACCTTTGGTATAATATACAAATCTAACATGGTGTAGGAATGCACGTATCCAGACTTGGCTATACATATCTTTACATCGTTGTTGAAGCATGATGTTATTTCCGACATCCGGGGATATCTTCGCATTCGCAAATCTTTGGGAAAAATAATTTCCTTAATAACTGGGCTCCAATTTATAACTACAGGCGTATTAAGCATGTAATAACATCATATGGACCATCCTGTATTTCATTGTCAAGGCAAAGGTGTCCAGTATAATTCAAATTCTACAATGATAATTTTACAAATATCAGATACCTTCCGCATTCTGCTAAATATGCCTTAATTGGTGACTGGCAGGCTACGCTAAGAACAAATTTCAGAATTCTGTATTGAACTTTTTTCAATACTATCGCGAAATACGGTTCCCCAATAAAGGTATTTAGATGTATTTTATCATCAAAGAACTAATGAACTGCTTTTCTGAATACATTACTTTTTCTGATTGTCTTGAAAGTACTTCACATACTTTTATATATACGTTTCGACATGAAATTGTTTACCCAATATGTTTGTAGTTTGATACTACCTTTAAGTCTTTCTGGACTGAAGAACCATTTCTCAAGTTGAGATGTCTTTCTATCTTTCTTGAAACCAGCACTTTGTTTCGATAGCCTTTATAGATCTGTCTTTTTCTGTAAAAATTCAGAACTCTATTCATAAATAATGCAAACGATTCAAGGTCGTAAGTAATGCAGTGATGAATGTTGTGATCGATGATGATGCAGCATTATGCTACATTTATTATTGATACTTTTAACCGTCATAATGTCAAGATGTCATTTGAGTCTTCCTGTAAAATCCCGATTTCACGCATTTAATTGCCAGCTTTATAAATAGTTTCTGTACTAAATCACGGACTGGACAAGATAAATGAATAAGTGTTAATAACTCAAGGGGAATTTGCAAAGTTTTATTTAAATGAAACACAACATGTTTTATATTATTGGTAAAGCAAATCTGAATTTCTAACCACACCAGTTAATATTCAAGTCAAACACTCTCTAACTAGTATGAAATACATTGGTGGTGTTTTACTGGTTATTTAATTGCCCTTGGTCTTTGTTAAGGAAAGAACTTCCGTGGACCAAACGATGAACATCACTGTTCGTAAAGACATGTACCGAGACCGAGAAACCATTACATTGTCAGTGGTCAAAACGCCACGACACTTGTGCATTCACTTGCTCTTGAGCCTGTAGATCCGTTGCATGGATGTTACATATTTTGACACATTTCGAACCTCATTATCCTTTGTGAAATACCAATGACCCTTTACATTTTATTCAGAATGAATTTCTCTCAGGAGTCTTACTGTTATACTTCTGGGATCATCATATCTGAGTCGTTTCTTTGTTTTCCAATTCTGGTGGATAGATGGGGTGAAAAATATTCTTTTGTCTTGGCATTGTTGAAAGAAATAAGGCCATCTACATTTCTGAAACTGAAGTTGAACGTTTTATCATTTCTTCGATTTAACTAAAAACAGTCATTACATTTGATTCGTATGTAAATGGAAACAGATTTCAAAATATGCCAACGGTATTGTCAATCAGTAATTCGAGCAGCTCTTATATTCGGGCATCTGCATATTTCTGAGTAGAGTCGTTTTCAATCTGACAACATACATTAAAAACTGAATGAAATTAAAACTGATCTTATTACAGATTAATGCAGTTACAGAACACTCCCTTTCGAGGTTTGGGACAAATGACGTTATAACATTGTTCGATCTTTTATGATTCGTGTAGCATAATTCGCACGGCTGCGAGGTTTATACACATATATGCACGTGCTGGCTGGACAAAATACAATGTTTACGTCACCAGTATTAAAGTATCAAGTCCCATTGTGTAGAGGAACTATACTATAATATATTGTAATATAATCACTTTTGGGATTCTGTGTTAGAATAGGTAAACATTTCGTGAACCTCAAGCTTTTAGAACTGACTAAACTGGGCGGTCAGGTACTGTTTTGTCATATCGTCTTTGCACGCTGTATGTTAAGCCTTTCGCGCTGATCTAGGTACCTGTTGTGCGTAGCTTATTCAGTTGTTGAGAATATATTGAAATGTTAAAAGATTAATTTATAATAAATTTATAATAATGTTATGCTTTTTCTTTTTGTCATCGCCAATACTTCACAGGTATGTATGCAATACGTTCGCCAGGTACTAGTGAATACATACTACCGCTAGGCATCTTCCCGAGGCAAGGGAGTTAACAGACTATAAAAATCCAGCGTCAACCCTTGCCGAACTACGCTGGAATTCCAGATTTAGATTTTGGCTGGACTAACGAGTCTATGCATAGTCCAATCAAAATCGCGAAACGAACTAGACATTCTGTTCGTTTGTTTGTATGTTTGTTGTTTGTTGTTTGTTGATTGACATCATGATCAACGCAATTGGGATACGATTACATGCATCAACCAAGTCAGCGTGCCTGACCACCCGATCCCATTAGTCGCCTCTTTCGACAAGCACTGTCGCCTTTTACGGCAAGAATGGGTTGCTGAAGACCTATTCCACACCGGATCATCACTGGCCCATCCTGTTCGTAAACAAAAAGGATTTCAGCGTGCAGATTTCGGTCGACTGAAGGATTTGCAAAGCATGTGTACCGTCAACTTGGCGTCGACAGGTATTTTGCAAATCTGTTCATGTTTTTAATCAAGGTGCCCAAGTGGTCGGTGCACTTCTAGAAATTGAGGCACGTTTAACTTCAATATAGATCTTTATTAACGGTCAGATCGGCTGGACCGGGCGCCGCCATTCTGTTTGAAGCAATTGGATGTGATGTGAGAGGTGGAATCTGATTAGTCAATAGAAAGGACATAGAAGGGACATAGCTCGTAATAGCCACTGGTGGCGCTACGATCGAACCTGGAAATTCCAGCTTAGTTCGGCATGGGCGAAAACTGGACTTTTATAGTCAGTTAACGCCCTTGCCTCGGGAAGATGCCGCTTGGCTGCATAGTCGCTAATTGCAGTTCAGTTGCAACGAAACCGAACAACGACGAATGACAAAACGCCGTCAACAATTTCACGGGCTTGTATGTTCCTCCACCATCCATGTAGTAAGGTCTCAGCAAGAACACTTAAAAATAACATACACTGTACTTTAACGTTTTTATTATCAATCGAACGTGTTTCATAAGCCATAAGGTAAATATTTAAAAATACACTCAAGACATTAACAGGCAGATATATACATGCGCTAGAAATATATATACGATGTTTGACTCTGTTACAACTATGTTCACTTGTGCGACCAAAAAACAGAAAAGATCAAGTCAAGTCATATTGGTAATTTAAGTCCTGATTTGATGCAAAATGTAAGTTTGTTATCTGTGGGAATATGTGTGCGTCTAGAAAGGAATAACAACTCCCATTCATAAGCACCTATATCATGTAATGGTTTCAGCTTACATACCTGTACAAAAATATCATCTGACATGCAAAATAGGAAGTTATGAACATAAGAAACAAAAAAAGAAAGATTAAATTCTAAATAGCCATATATCAACATACACCCTCTTTGGGCAAGGTGCAATACCAGTACAACGTTCTGTAGGTTAGCCCACCGTGGGGATTCGTGGTTAGAATAAGTCTGCAGCCACCTTTGCAGGTCGTAAAAAGCAACCAAATGGATCGGGGGTTGTCAGGCACGGTGACTTCGTAGGATGTGTGTGTTCGTACCCCATCTGCATGGATCGTGGCACACAGTATCCATCACTGGATTATCTGACCCAGATTTGATTATTTACACAGGCCGCCATCATATAGCTTGAATATTGCTGAGTGCGGCGTTGAACAACACATACACATTCTCTACATGTAAACAAATGACATGGAAGCAAATATACATAAATCCAGCACTTACGTTTGCAAATGAAATTTACACGTAACTTTTGAACAATACACAGGAAGTAGATTTTACTAAGTGATACAATGATTCAGCAAGTACATTAGTTTGACGGTTATATTTATATATCACAATAACGTTCAGTGCATCAATAAACACTCAACACTGATTGGAGACGTTGCAGTTCATACCTAAAATAGGACTTCTTTCACCAAACCGAACCATTGCTGTCCGCAAAAGCAGTGTACGGTGATCTGATTATTGTAACTCATAGGCTTCTTTCGACAAAAACTTTGACAGCATGATACGAGTTAAAATATATCCAAACTATGGAAATATTCAAACTTGATTATAACAAAGTTACAAATCTGGCCAGGTTAGGTTTGTCAAGTAATCTTCATAAACGTATGAGAACTAGGAAGGCGCTGGAACTACCTAAAACACTGGATATATGAATTCAGTGACATCTTTGTATTAGTTGTTTGAGTAACAATCATATGGAAACAACATAGATAGTAATCGAAGTTTCTATTATTCAGAATAGGGCTTGTCATCATCAATCGGCGAGATATATCGTGCGCCTATAGTTGTGTATGTTTCAGTGGCCATCTTTCCGCCGATGTCTTGACTGTTCGATGGCTCACTCTCCGTGTTCATATCTGCTTCTCTAATTTCCCAATACCGATGTAAGGCCTGGTACTCTCCTGTGACAACTTGTTCTGTTACGGCATTGTGTATCACCTCATCTAGTTGATTATTTCTACAGAGGAGAAAGTTAGAGTCATCAGTTTAATTAACACACCAGATTAACAATGGGTATTTAGGTGAGTGACCATGGGTCAAAGTCACGGCAAACATACAGACAGACGAGCTTCACAAACTGTATCATTGTATGATATGTAAGAGTATTACTACGATCATTCATAAATATTTGCTACCCGTGAAGACCCGGGGTAGAATAGGTCTTCAGCAACCCATGCTTGCCATAAAAGGTGACTATGATTGTCGTAAGAGGTGACTAGCGGGATCGGGTGGTCAGGCTCGCTGTCTTCGTTGATGCATATCATCGTATCCCAATTGTGAGTATCGATGCTTATGATGTCAATCACAGGATTGTCTGCTCGTATAGCTGGAATATTGCCGAGTGCAGCGTTAAACAACAAACAAACAAACATTAATCTTTAATCAGTAATTGAGAGACAACGTACTCTCAAACTATACGCCCCAAGCAATGTGCTTTGTTCGTGACAAACATGAAACGGGCCTCGTACCTAGGAAACCTCTTGAAACGTTGTGAAATGTCTAATATGAGCAATTTTACGTTAGAAGTGTACATATTAAATTCAGAATGAATAAAAACATTGCTAATGATCCAGACACTGGTTGTAGAGAGGGGACTTTTGGTTTGATTAGTTGATTTTATTTGATTTGTTATTTCATTCATCTTTACAGTTCGACTCCACGGTGTGTATCCTAGCATATGACATGACCTAAATATAGGACACTAATTTTCGTTATTGTAGACTGATAACAATTATATATACAGATTCAATATCATCAGCTTCGACAAAAAATATAAGCGACAAAAGCATTTACATAATCTTAAGATTTCTCTGCTAAAAGAATGGTTCTTTGTCTGATTCCGACTATATCACGAGCGTGCGTTTATGTATCACTATCAAATCAAATACTGATGATAACAGCACTGTCCACGTAAGTATTTCTTAGAACTGGATGTCATGAATTCTCGGGTCATCGAGTTATGAATCGAGAATTAATATCCTTCCATCCTTAAACACATTTTAGCAATAAAGGGAATTCACAACATTTTCGCATATGAAACAATATATGCTGATACAAACACACATGTTATGTAGTATCGACAAGTATTCTATAAATTGATTATTCGAAGCTAAAAGCTATCCATATCCTTATAAGGCATTAATACGAATTCTTCAATGTCGACCGTGTGAGCGCCAGTCAGCATCAACGATCAAGAATAGCTGAATCAACTTTTGCACCTGCACTTGACTATATGCCAGATGTACATACTGACCTTGTGGAGGACCGACCCTTGCGGTAACAGATGTAGCATACAGCTGTTGCGACAAGCAATACTACAACCAATGCTACTACGCTCAGGTTGATGCTAGTGGCCCTTAGGGTTTCTAAAACAAAAGGAAAGTGACAGTACATGCCTGGGATCAGGTAGGATGACTAACCTACATCATAGGCTGACAGACTTTCTGTTTAAACGAAATTTAGATAAAACTAATTCTCATTGGGTTCCCAGTTAAAACTGTGTCGAGGTTTGTGACCAAATTGATTAAATGACAGAACGTGCATCAATGTTAGCGTTGGTAAACCGAGAATACAGTATGCTGAACGGAGATAGAAAGTTGTGTAACTATATCTAAACAGCAATATTTTATCAAAGCTCCTTCACAAATACTAGTATTGGTCTCACATGACATTTATAATAATCAACTCGAAAATTATCTCTTAGGATAGGGAGATCGATGGGGATGCAGCAATAACATTTCAAAATAAATCATTCATTTCACATGTTTTGATATGTAATTTAGCTTATTTATCAAAACAAGAAATATTTCAGTCTGATTTACCTGTGACACAAGATCCAGTAGTGCACTCAGTTGTTGGAACCTCCACAGAACAATTATGCTTACATCCATCTTTTGTGATGAAACATCCGTTGATACATTTTCCAGTCGTCTGATCACACACATCGTCAATACATGGGTTACTGGTGAGGTTACAGTATTTTCCATACGTTCCATTACTACATGCATTTAAACAAGAACCACTCTTTGAATTGCAAGTGTAATTAGCGCAGATCTCAGAGCATGGTTTACATTCTTTTCCAAAATAACCTGCTGCGCAACCTTCGGCACACACCCCTGTGTCATTACAACGTTTGTTAATGCAGTTAGCGTTACACGGAGATGAACACATTTGACCATACCAGCCAGCAACACAACCGTGGATGCACTCACCGCTCTCATTGTGGCACTCAGGTGTACACACGTTTGTAATGTTCACATCTCGTTCCAAACAATGTTCCTCAGAATATATCGCTGGGTTAGAACGACAGTTTTCACTGCAGATTTCGGCACATAGATTCCCATACAATCCACGTGGACATACTCGCGTACAACCATCCTCGCACGACCCCGAACAATTATTACATGACTCACAGCTCTGGCCATGATATGAAGGATGACAGTGTTCACACGTTCCTGTTACCCTATTGCACGATTCACATCTACTGGAACAAGTCTTGCAATCTAAACCGTAGTAGGAATCTTGACATCCTGAGAAACAAACGTCACCTTGGTTACAGTAATGCCCTTCACAACCACCAGGACATATGGTGCATTTTTCTGTTGGAACGAAACAGTCTAATTTACAGTTCTCGCCATGATAGCCAGGTTCACAGCCTTCCGTACACTTCCCAGTTCCGGCACTTTTCAACAGTTTACATTTTCCCTGCTTGCAATTCTTGCTGCAAACAGATTTGCATTTGGAACCGAAATATCCAGGATGACATTCTGTGATACAGTCGCCATATGCTGTGTTACACTCTGAACAGTGTTGGTTGTCCTGACACGATTTGGCTGCCAAACAGAAGACCATCAGAAGGAATAACGTCATGTTGTTTAATCGTTATCATACACAGAGTACGACCATCCAGAGTACAAAAAACAATCTTCAATATTGATACATTAAAGTAGTTTATATTGAAATGTTGGAAAAGATTTACTGTATGGTTACGTGAAACGTTGCATCGTGTTGAAATTAGCTTACCTCGTGTTGAAAGAACCGTGCAGGCAGTGGTGATAAGTAGAAGAACACGCATTATGTGTCTGAAATAAATACAGCAGTATGATTCACGTCATGTTGTTTAAGCGTTTTATTAATACACGGAGTAAGCCCAGAGAACTAAAACCAATCTTAAATATTGATATATTAGTGACTCGAAAATTGGAAAAGATTCACTTGACGATTATGTGAAAACTATTCACAGATGATCTTACCTCGTGTTGAAAGAACCAAGCAGGCAATAGTTATTAGGATCACAACAGCCATTATTTGTCTGAAATAAATACAGAGACAATATATTAGGAACGCATTAATGTTGATACATATTCAAGAGACTTCGTAATAATACGCTTTATGATTTTTTTTTATACTTATGACAGAAAACATAAAAGATGCGCGTCACCCAATACAAAGACACCAGATAAAAACGAAGCCAGATACGTTGACTATATGCAAACCGTGAATCCATAAACTATCTATATATAATTTGAAGAACAATAAATACATTTCGAACAAAAATATATTATTTGATCAGATGTAATTTCACAGTATAAAATATATTTAAATATGTCTTACCTGGCCCCGTGTCAGTATTTTGAACATATAAAGCAATATAAAGCAACTAAGGAAGGCACGAAGCGTTGTAGATGAAAGAGGACACACTGCATGCAAAGGGTGTACCGTCTTGACAAAACCCTGAGGTACATGGAAATTGAAACTATGATCTAGGCCCCTACAAACACATGTGTCAACCAACGCATACTTAAGCTCATAGTTTCATTTTCCTCTTACATGAACTTGCCACCCAGATACCGTGTGATACAAGCAATGCATTGGTCATATTATCCTATGTAAACGCTGTTAACGGGACGTCACTAGCATACAATGTCGTAACGTAAACGCGATAATCATAAGAAATATCTGCTAAAAGCCATATGGTTTGAAAATGTTACTTAGTTCTGGAATGGTGCAATCCTGTCCAAAATGCCTTGACCAAAAGGCTACAACAACTGTAATATAACTCGACAGAAAGTTACACGACGGGGCGGTTTCACGGGTTTCTTTTATTTCTAGGTCTGGTGGATAAATCAGTGGAAGTGAATGTCTGTTTGACCATTATTTAACATTAGATCGTCAATATACCTGAGGCTGCCTCAACTTCGTGTCCAAATTTTCCTGTTGTGATTTTGTCAACCCGAGAAGAGATTTCAATTCCTTTGCAGAAAGAAACAGATTAGCGAGGACACGCGGACGCCCACCCCCGACTTGTCAAACAAAGTACAGTCACCAGTAATGACTCTTTAAATAACGATAATTGATTTAGATAGCGCCTCGTTTCATTATAAGCTGCACAGCAACGCTCAAATTGGTAACACTTGAAAAAAACACGGAGTTTAATGTTTTCTTTTATAGTATCCGAAATACAATATTATTAATTAAAAATCTTTTGCCATTAAGCATTTAAAGAGTGAATATGTACATGTAGCTATATTTTATCAAAACTATGTTATGTAAGGCGAGGGGAGCCTGAGAGACAAGTGCGTTATGTGACGTTATGAGCGGGAGATTTAAATGATAGGGACAATTTTTGCAATTATGGTCATGAAACACCTACTTTTCACGACTCATGTTGCATCACTTGACATTAATTTGAACGGCATGTCCATCAACTGTCCACATGTTTCAAGGGTGATAACTCACATTTGAAAGTTTCATGGTCATAAGAAACGCAGTGATAAATGTTGCAATGATGATGCAATCTCATGACTCGTATATTATTGACTCTCTGAACCTATATAATGGCACGACGCTTCCAAGCATTTTACGCGTGCCTTGACACAATCAAGTAAAATGTGATAATAATAATGAGAAAATCATAAGGGTGCATCAGGAGTAGCACATTCCGTATGGGATCAATGTAAGCCTTCAGTACAACTGCTCAGTGCCACCGACGACACAATTTAAAGGAGACCCCCCCAAAAAAAACCCCCAACAACAACAACAACAACAACAAAAACAAGAAAAAAGAAAAAAACAACAACAACAATAAAACACAACAAAAACAAACAAAAACACCTAATGTTATAACGTAGTGTAATACAGCTGAATGTTTGTTAAGTGGTGTCGTCAGCAACTTAGCAATAAACATATTTTGTTGTCACACCAAAGTTAGCCTTAATCAAATCTTCATTTTGGCTGACTATCCTTCTGATATTTGGCATTACATCATGTTTTTCGGTGATCGTCTGAAGGCGACCTCTGAATTACACTGATTCGTGACAATGTCATATGGTTCCACTGTCGTAAACATTTTGAAAGTTTTGATTTAAACTAAGCACTTCATGTTTCATTTACATCAATGAACAAATTAGAATTTCCATGATATAATAATTTACGTAAAGAAATACACTAATTTGACAATAAATAGATGTCATATCTCCGGTGCATCAATAATCATCTACCGAGATATCTCTTCGATCCTTATTCACACATAGATATTCAAATATGATATAGCATGTTCGTCGAAAAATACATGACCATGCGTAGGATATGACATTGTGGCTGTCTATGATGGTAAAACGGCAGTGCCGGCCATAGAAGTCCGATCTTTAATTGATATAAACGCATAACAAGTATGATAAATACTCCTAAAAAGGAAACGCATAGGTGTTATTAGTATACATATATTAACGACAATGACAAATAAACGACAAATGAAACATGAATATGATGTCACTTGTAATCACATTAATAATAGTTATCATTATCAGAATCTTTAAAACGGAGACAAACGCCTAAATGCATAAACGTAACACCACATACATGTTCAGACGTGATACGTCTTGATAGTGGTGTGGGTTGATTTTTGCTAACACGTCTGTTAGCAACTGTATAATGCGAAGTCATGGCACGACAAACTGAAGAACATAGGACGTCGGACAATTTGAAGCTGGAGAATCTATGATCCATGCTAACGTCATATATAACCACTGTATTTTAGAACGCATACAATATGCGTAACAACAGAATGCCTACTGAACCACAATGTACCCTCTTAATCGCTATATATGAACCTGATGGAACACACGTGGGACGCGGGGCGGTCGTGTAGCCTAGTGGTTAAAGCGTTCGCTCGTCACGCCGAAGGCCCGGGTTCGATTCCCGGCATGGGTACAATATATGAAGCCCATTTCATGAGTCCCCCGCCGGGATATTGCTGGAATATTGCTAAAAGTGGCGTAAAACCATACCCACTCACTCACTCACACACACGCGGGACGCTATGGATGTCGCCTTGCATCTTAAATCCCGAACACTGCAGCATTTTCATCAACGATGTCCTAATATGTTTCACATTTGTCCTGATTGCATGAAGTGTACAGATGTACAGAAATGTGTTACTTCCTACACCAAATTCTGATCGTGCGTAGTTTTAATCTTTTTTAGTAGTGTCGTAATTATTGTATATACAAAATTCAGTTAACAAAACACCACATTTGGGGACTGATTTCATTTTTCACTGCTGAAAATAATACTAGACACACAACAACTTGGTTTGAAAATTCATTTGACAAATAAATGTTTGTATAGCTAATACATTTTTTTTGTCATTTAATTATAGTTATTTAGGAAGGCTGTTCCTACGCTAAGGTCAATAAATCTTGTGTAGATTCCTGTTCGCTAGGAAGCTGAAAGTGCTTGGGAATAAGGTCCTGTTATTTCGTATTCATAATGAGCATACAAGTGTTTGAACATCTGGCGGAGATGAATATCATTCACCCTGAGCTCGAAAGAAACTTAAATCTATTGACGACGTTTTCAGAAATGCTTCCGCGTCGTGACTTCAGTCACTTCAAAAATAGATGGTGGTGTTCAGACAAGGAATATTATCTGTTCTCAATATATTTCATCAGAATATAATTTTATCGATGGGCAGCTCATGGCAGTGAGTCTAAGATTTTATGCAAGAACAATTGATGTTTTCCTATGCAACAAATACGATAAAACCAAATATATTTGCAGAAGATCGTGTAAACTATGTATTTTCATTTTGTAAAGTGTACATATTTTTTATTGCTATGAACCTTTTAGTTAACATTTACTGTACACTGTCAGTATAGTAAGTCTACATTTATAATCATATATTTAGAGGTGCTATGTGCTCAAAACCTGATTGCCCGAAGTTGTAAAGTTTGCCTGGAGGTAATAAGTGTCTCGCCATGGTGGACTTAAAACAGAATGAATGAACTAATTCTGTCATAAATTCAAATCAATCTAGCATGCACACCGTTCACCGCATTGGTGCTAAAACAACACGAATAATCATGCACAAATCATGCATTAAATACGTTAAATCTGCTATCGAAACTGCCAAATAACTCCCTGAAACACCACCAATAGGTGTTCGATCAAAGCTAGGTGGTAGTGAATAATTTCCAATAGTATGAAGAAACGTCAAACGTACCACTGTCAATTGCTTGTTCATACAATGTTACTATATTTCACTAATGAAACTTGTTAACATTCAGATTCACTGAACGCAGCTAAAGACTTGAATACAATGGCTCTTCGTAGTACAAAAATATACGAATATCGCTATTCAAAAGCATAATATACCAGTGCTGCTCGAGCTGTATGTACAGTGTACATCGGGATTTACAATAAAACAAACGTCTTGGTCATGTGTTGGAGTTTAAACTGAATAGTCCCGAGCTGTTTGGCAGTGTTCCAAGACGGGTAGGGAACGAGTGACTCTAGTGCTGAATAGAGGTTTGCCCAGAGACGTTAAAAGATAGTATGTGTCGTTCCCTGCCTCGCGCTCAGCAAGAGGA